GGGCCCAGGCCTTTTTTGTAGCAAACCAGAGCAGGGAACTGATCCTTCCTTGGGGGTTTTGTGTAACCTAGGGTGGTTCAGTGTGTGGCTAGCTGTGATAAGGGGGCTGGGAGGGAACTGCACTGCTGCCTTTGGTGCCTGCCTGTTTGCACCACTTGAACTAACAGTGGAGGGCTGTGGTAAGGTGGTCTTAGTACACTAGACAGCTTTGCAACAGGAGTAGACTGACACATAAGTGACTCACCTTGTTTTATAAGCCTGGTGCCTACAGTTAGAAAGGTCACTAACCATGAAGTCACTTTGTCCTTAATTGGAAGAGGGTGTGTGTATTCCTTTCAAAAAGCTGCTTTTCAAGTTTCCCAAGGCATATGTATTTGCTGCTTCTCTTGGGTTTGGCAAATTGGAGTGTGTGCTGAGGGAGAAAGAGCAGGCATACCGGAGCGTTGTGCTGGTGCTTTTTTATATTGCCTCATCACATCATCATTGTTATGGGGTTGCAAAGTCACTTTAGGAGCAGGAGGAGCTTCTATCCGTGTTGGAGTAGCCAGAAAGTGGCTACAAAGAGCATTTGGAGTCCCTGACAGAGGAGGAGGAGCGTTGTAGCAGCATTTGGGAAACACTGTAGGAACTCAGTGTAGGCGTAGGAGAGGGGCCAGTATAAAAGATGAAGTAGGAACATGGGTTTTGAGAGTCAGTGTGAGAGTCAAAGCAGTCCACTCCTTTTTATCAAACCTAAGCTGACTATTGGGGATTCTTCTTGTGGTTGGACAGCTGCAGGAATTGAAAGAACGGCATATCCGGACTGAGTGTTATGCCAAGTCCCTGAAGAACGCCATAAAGAATAAGGAGAAGGAACTAGCAGCTTCCAGGGATCTGCAGGGCCTTCTGGCCACATCTTCTGGAATTGCAGCTATCCCAGAGCTGGAAGAACGCCTGCAACGGTAAGGAAGTAATGCAGTGGAGCAAGGCTCTGCTTTCTGCAATTGTGAAAGCAACAGGACTGTCTTGTTGCATCCCAGCGAGATAATAGTACACGATTTTCAAAGATGCCTTTGGTTTAGATGAGGTTCTTTCACACTCTTCTTTTGGGATTTGTGCTTTTGTGGACTCCTGTGATAAGGCCTATGCTTCTTTTCCAGGCTCCATGTTGGAAAGGCCAGGCTGGAAGCCACAGCCCAGCAACAAGCCAAGACCATCAAAGCCCTTCAGAAAGACCTGCAAGCCTCTGCCTCAGTAAGCTAGCCAGAGCCTTCCCTTTTCATGAGCTACAGAGCCCAGTTCCATATTTGTGTGGGGAAATTTTAAGATGAGGTTTTCCTGGAGAGCCTAGGAGAGATCAATTCCTCTCCTCTACTGACTACAGACTGCTCTAAAGTCCTGCTGGCTCATTCCCCAGCTTTCTGGTTTTGAGAGTTGTCCCATGAGCAAGTCCTATGTAATGCCATCTTTGTTAAGGAGTTGACAGTAATGAACTGGCTTAGGTATTTTCTGCTTTAGACCAGCCGTGAGGTTGAGACCTCAGGCAGCACTTCAGACAGTCATGCAGTAGAGAGATTTGGTACCTCTGGTTGCAGACTTTCCTTGGGCTGTGGTGGTGCCAAGCGTTTCATCCTGGAGGCCTGACTGGCATCATCAGAATGTGATGGGAATTCTTCAGTTGCCTGTACTCTGGTCACCTTCCCATTTTAGTGACTATGGATTCCTTGGCCAGAAGGTGTGGGTTCAAAATGCAACGAGAAGAACTCCGAAGATGAAAATCCGCAACTCATAAGGGAATGGCACCTCCATAGGCAGTATTTTGTGTGCTTGGGTGGCGTTGCAGGGCAGGCAAACACGGTGTGGTACTGATGCTGGCAAGAGAAGAAGAAAGACTGTGAGGTATGACCTTCAGTCGTGAAAGTCCTAGCATGACTTCTTTCTTCTTCTTTTAATACTGCTGTAGGCTCATAATGGCCTGGAGGACTCAATAACTGGCTTTCGGGCAACGCAGACTGCAGAGGAACACCAACATCGACAGGTATATGAGCAGCTTCTGGGAATGACTGGTTTTAGTCTCTGAATTTCTTGTGGGCATGCAAGTTATGAAAAGATCAGGTGGGCTGTGGGGAAGCCCCAGGTTTCTGGGCAGGGCACCTTCAAGGGAAAAGTCTATACGTTTCCCCATTCCCCTGGTGCTACTGCATTTTAAATGTGCTTGATGGACTTTGAATGCCCATAGTTGTGGGCACTTGCATTCATCAGCACAATTCCTTTGATGGGTAGGCTGTGTGCTGTGGACAGGAGACAGATCTGTGGTTGAAAGCTGCAAGAGGAGACTGGACTTGGAAGATCGGTGTTATCTTCTTTGTGGAGAGCACTGTCTGCATGTTCTGCATATGGATCCTGTTCCCATGCTCTGTGTATGATGTATGTTGTCTATTTTGAAAGTGTGGGAGTCAGAACAAAGAAGTGAAGGAGCTGGCCAAGCTGAAATGCCGATCAGAAGTGCTTCTGGACGAAATGCGGGGAAGAAACATCGCACTGGAGGAAGAACGTACCAGGCATGGCTTTTTAGTGCTTTAAGGAAATATCGCATTGAGTAGAAGTCAAGCTTTACTGAACTCTAATGTAAAAGCATGTCCATAACCGTTTGTGAGCAAACTGAAGCCTTACATTCGATCTTGCAAGGTGCTTCTGTGCATGAGCCTATGGTTTTAAAAAGCTGCAAAAGGCCTTGCAAATGCAGGCTGCCTGCAGTTCTCCTGGGAGGAAAAGAAGTCTTTTCTTGCTCTGTTCAGGTAAACTTTGGGCCCTCCAAGTGATGTGTGCCACTGGAGGGCTGGCTGTTCTCAGTAATTCCTGGCCTGTCAAGCATGTTATGGATGAAGCAAGCCATGGCTGTGCTGCTTACATAAGAGTATGTGAAAAAGGCCAACTGTTGCTTTGTTTCACACTTTCCTTACGAATTTGCTATGCAGGTTGAAGATGCTTCTGGAGGGATCTTGGACAAAGCTGATGGCGTATGTGGGGAGAGAGTCTCAGCTCAGTTTCCGGGGAGAGATGAAGAGCAACAGTTCTAAGGTGGACAACCAAGTTGGTAAACTAAGAAGAAAGGTGAGCTCTGTTTTGCTTGGTGGATTTGAGGTGATCATTTTTTTCTCCTGGAACCTGCATGATTCTTTTTGTATACTTTTTTCCCATATTGCTAATTATCTGTTGGCTGGTTTTTGCAATTGATTGACTTCTCTTGAGGCTCCTGCTGCTGTTGTAGCAGTAGATGATGATGATGTTGATGAACACAGATGTAGTTATCATGATGGGTAAAAACCATGAGTCAGGAGTCCCAGCAGGGCTGCTGAGGTCAATGGCCTCACCGACCAGAATGCAGTCCTAGGGACCCTGAGCAAGAAGAGCGGAGCTGGTCACCATACATCGAGATATTAATACATTTTAATACTCTGTCAGCAGGCGACAAATGCAGTCTCGATGGCCCCCCACCTTATGGATTGCCACGGAAGTGAGTAACATTAGAGCTCTCTCTTTGAGTTCCTTTTGTTTTGCTGCCTACAAGTCGGTGACATTTCCCAACAGCTGAAGATACAGTCAAACAAATGCATGCAGCGGGCGAGATAAAACCAGGACCTGTGAGAAAAGTTGTCTGCTCTGCGTGGGACTCAGGAAGAACCGGAGCAGAACCAGGGCTTAACCTCAGAAGTCGCTGAGAGCTAGCATGGTGGGTCACAGCCAAATAGAGCAGTCTAAAAGAGAGATGGGAGAACAAGCTGGACAAGAAATAAGGCAAAAACAACAAGAAGTTGATCCGTATCTCCATGTAATGCAATTTTCCACGTGTGTCTGTAGCCCACAGGCTGCAACTTTGTTAACACATTTGAGTGTTTGGTTTTTGGTATCTGGATCTGCGCATTAGTGCTGTACTTCCAGGATCCAGTTCCCAGTGCTGCCTTTGGCCCAGCCTCCTGTAAAACTAACTAACACACAGCCTTTTCTTTTCTGCTGTTCCCCAGTTACAACTGAACTTCCAACATGGTTAGCAATGAGAAGATGCTGGAGCAGAGGAAGTGCCAGTGCCAGAAAACAAGAGCACTCGCAGGGAGATGAAGGAAGCCTGGAAACCTTTGCCTTCCACCTTGTGCAGCCACTACCCTGCATCTAATTCCAAGTGTTCTGTTGAAGCTTGGTATTTAATAAGCTGTGTCACCTCAAATGCGTTTTAGTTTTGCTGCACAATTGGAGCGCTTCGGACCTGAACTCCAGCACAAGCATTGCAAAAAGTCTGACTCAGGATTTCTCCTCTAGCTGGTAGCAGATACCACAAGGAAACACAATACATCTGAACAAATGCAACTGGTTCCCCACAAGTGTGGGGGTGTCAGTGCTGGAAGCACCTGGTGAAAGCACAACGGTCATTTCTGCATGCAGGAGACTTTCTTGGCACATCACTGCCCCAGCCACCCTCCATGGTTTGCAGCAACAGCTGAAGAGAGCACAGAAATCAAGTGCAAGGGAATATTTTCTTTTTATGGAAAAAACAAAACAAGAATAAAACAAAACACAAACAAGCACAACAACAAATGCTATACCAAAAGAATACTCTGGTTTTGCACTGGCCTTTCCAGTTTGAGCCATCTTATCACCATGCACTGTGCTGCCTCATGCATGCCTCCTCCAGTCTCATCTTCTGCAGAACCCGTGACGTGATCCCAGCAGCCTTCTAGGAACGTACTACTCAAGACTCCCTAACAGAGGGAGTCCAGCTGCCACCATGGGTCAGTGGAGACTTATTTTTCAATGCTGCCACTGATACAGTCCCATACCAACATTCTATTGCACAGTGGTTTGGCAAGTGTATTTAATGTTTGTCAAGAGGCAAAAGCTACAATGAGAAGAGGATCTGTGGTTTGCCTTCTCTCCCATGCAGTTTGTTCCTGTGGAGTTAACACTGTTTTTGTCAAGTCTGTTGCTCTT